CTTCTATTAGTTCCAGTAGTTTTCTTGTGGATTCTTTGGGGTTTTCTGTGTATAAGATCATATCATCTGCAAATAGAGATACTTTTACTTCTTCCTTACCAGTTTGGATGCCCTTTATTTCTTTTTCTAGCCTGATTGCTCTGGCTAGGACCTCCAGCACAATGTTGAATAAGAGTGGTGATAAAGGGTATCCTTATCTGGTTCCCTATAGGGTTTTCTTGGCTGTAATCTTTAGAGACGCAGATTGCCAAATCTTTCTCCTCCAGAGCCCTTGGTGGGTTTCATTAGCAGCCAAGTACTTAACCACTGTGCCACTAGGGCTCCTTTTGGAATATTACCTCTCCTATTGTAGAGCCTTGTTGGGCTGGTAAGTCCAGCTGTTCATTCTTCCATTATAGAAGCCTGGAAGGCTTCTTCTAGTATATCTTTCCTTTTGCTGCCCTGTATTGTCATGCGGTATGTACGTGACATAAACTCGCCAGACGTATACTTTGAGTGGGACTTTGACTCCTGAGTAAGTAGAAGAGTTGGAGTTCATTCTGTCCAGCTATAGAATCTGCTGAGACAGCTTCTGGCATGCCAACTTCCTATCCCTCTGCAATGGATTTGTTTTCTACTCATTTTAAAGTCTACTTTTAATTTTCCAATGAATCTGTGCATTCCTAATATCCTTATGATAAAGCCTATTTTCCTTAAGGTAAAGGTAGTTTCTGTAGCTTCCAACCAAAGTACCCAAACTAATTCAAATAGAATTTGAATTAGCTCCATTCCATGGAGCCTTTCTCAGCTAGTCTACCTCTCACCCATTTTACTCCTGTTACTAAATTCCTTTTCTAACTTGTGATTCATTATATAAATTTTATTCTTAAACGCTCTCTAGCATCATGGTATGTTATACATAGAAAGGGCCTTAAAGATAATCTAACACAGCGATCCTCAGCCATAGTGGCATATTAGAATCCCTTGTTGTTGTTAGGTGCCAGGTGCCATCAGGTCAGTTCCCATTTATAGTGACCCCATGTATAACAGCATGAAATGTTGCCCAGTGTTCTGGAATTTCCATTCTTCACAATGTTATCCATAATTTGTTATGATCCACACAATTGAATGCCTTTGCATAGTCAATAAAACACAGGTAAACATCTTTCTGGTATTCTCTGCCTTCACCCAAGATCCATCTGACATCAGCAATTATATCCCTCGTTCCATGTCCGCTTCTGAATCTGGCTTGAATTTCTGGCAGTTCCCTGAAGATGCACGGCTGCAGCCATTTTTGAATTATCTTCAGCAAAATTTTGCTTGCATGTGATATTAATAGTGGCACACACCACCATTCTGGAGGCAAGTTGCCTCTTTCTCTGGTATATTTTTAAACTTCTTTTATCAGACAATAAAACAGTGGGCATTTCCTATTAAGACCTCTTAACTAGCACCTCTTAACTAGGATGGACAGGAAATAGCAAACTGAGCTCTTTCTCTATAGCTAGTTTCCCCCCATTAACCTCAGGTAAAGACTGGTGTGTCAGAGGACCTGGAAATGGGCAGATAATGAAAGCCTAGTCAGAGACGTGTATTTTTTTTTAACATCTGGGGTTAAAGAGGAGAAGAAGGGGAAGAGGAATTTAATAAATGCACATGAACACAAGCAACATTTTTCATCCCATAGAAGTATATTTAGCAGTTTGTTCCTGCTTGATCGTTTTTAAATCAAAGGCAATATAATCCCCTTCCTGAGATAAGCATTGACTATAAATAACCAAAACGAAGACAGGTGTGAGCAGTGTTCTAGCAATCCTGATATTCTAAGGGGTCAAAAGTTTGTTCTCAAAGGCTTTAACTTTTCCAATCTCACCTTTGATCTACTTTCGATACTGTGGGAAGCACGGTGGGGGCGGGGGGGGGCATTCGGAGTGGAGATGAAACACTTTTTATGTAAGAATTTGATTAAATCAGATTATTTTTTTAACTTCCTTGTTCCTTCATGTGAAGGAGCGTCGGTGGGAAAAAGAAATGCTAGTTTTCTGGAGACGTCCTCCCACACACGCAGTGCGTGGGTGTCTTTTGCACCTCACCACCGGAGAAAAACGGAGAGTGGATGGGAAAGTAGGGCGGAACTGAGAAGAAAGAGGGAATGGATCAGAAATATGCAAAGGGAGCAGAGCTGGAGTGGGTGAAGGGAGGAAGGAGAAAAGCGAATGGGGCTGAAGTTAAGACTTTTTGTCTTTAAATGGCTAGAAAGTTGAGAGAGAAATGGACCAGACCTGGGGAAGACAGGAGGGAAAGGAGGCAGCGGTCAGAACCTAAGGCTAATCCTGTTTCTAGTTCTGGCGGGCGGGGAGTCCCGGGCGGGCAGCGGAGGCCACACCCTGGGCCTGTTCTCCCCGCGCTCAAGCGAGCTCAGCAGGAGCTGCTGCTGAACCCGTGAACGAACAAACCATGAATGATCCTCCCGACAGAATGGGGACTTTGGGGCCGCGAGAAGCTTCATATCCCGTGGGCTCACCCCTCCGCCCCAGGCGCGCCGGGCTCTTTCCGGGAAAGCAGGGGCGCAGGGCTCCCCTGGCGGCCGGCGCCCGGGATCCCACCGCGGCGGGAACCAGCGGAAGCAGGGGCAGCGCTCAAGTGGACGGGTCTGCAGCCCGAGCCCCCGGATCGTCGGCTGGAGAAAACCTGGACTGTGAGTCCTGGGTCAGAGACAAAGTGCTCTTTCTTCTGCACCCAGAGAGGTGGTTGGGGACTTCAGGGGATCCTGCACGGGAAGAGGTGGCCGGTGGGGAGGACCTTCCTCAGGCGGGCGGAGACGACCAGGAGCCCGGCTGCCCATCTTCTCTTTTTCCACGGGGACAGCGAATTTCTGACAACCGTGTAGACTCTCCCTCCGTATCCCTGCGGCAGGACTCAGCAGCCCCACCCAAATCCGTGCTCGTGCGGGTCGTGGATTATCAGGTGACACAAGAAGTGCTGCAGACCGCGTGGACGAAGGGCAGCATGACCACGAGGACCGAGAAGCACTCTATGACCGCGGTCACTTTTCGCACCAACAGGGCTTGAGGCAGTTTTGGGAGCGCCGGGACACCTGGGGAACTCCAGGTTCTGTTGGCATGGAAAGAGGCACCCCGCTTCCTCGCCGCGGAGAGGAGCGTTTCACGGTCCCGCAGGATCTGACTCCCCGAGGAGATTAAACAGGAAAGAGGAGCCGGAGGAATGCGCGACGTTGGTGCATCTGCGATAATCCTTAAAGAAAGACAAATGCTATTCGAGAACCGCAGCCTGCAATTAACTGTCAGAAAGAAACTTTTATGATACTGGCGTAACACTTAAGGGTGACAGGGCACCCGTTACAGCTTGCAGAACTGTAAGAAACGTGACACCTCCTTTGTGACTTAAATACTGCGATGGCCTGGGTATCTAAGTCATTCAGAAGACAGGGAGAAAAGGTATTTTCAAATTGGCAGAATGTGAGAGTTTTTGAAATAAGACAGGCAGTTGTTAATTCTCTCTCATTTTGCAATACCTTTTAATTGACCCTTCTTCCCCTTTTTCTTTAGGACATATAAGCAGAAATGAAGGTTCTGCTTACTACAAGGGTGGGAGTGGATGGGAAGAGAGATATGTTTTAAACCTGAAAAGAAAGAAATGGGGGCGGGAGGGGGAAGAGGAGCACCATAAAACAAAGCCACAAGTAAACAAAATCTTTTGTCACTCTCTTCTGATGTGCACATTTTTCACTTTTTCCCCCACATCCCAGTGCTATGGAGAAGAGAAAGGAGCTAGGAAAAGAAAGGGGAAAATAGAAGACAGACAAATGCTATTTAGAAGGAGCTCACCCCAAAGAATATCTGATTTAGTCCAGCAAAAATGGAGCCGTGCTGGTTTCAGTATGCCTTTAATCGGAATTTTTTTTTTAATTATTTTAATGTTAAAAATACTACATGTAAAAAAAATACTGCATCTAAAAGTAGATAGAAATGTATCATTTGCCATAAAATGAGTGTATGTCTCATTCTTGTCCATAATTATTTATCATTAAGGGTTGTAGACAAGACTGGATTGATAAATTCATCTCTCCTGGTGTTGTTGAAGAAAACAAAATCTCTCCTGGTGTTGTTGAAGCAATTTATTTTTCTTATTTTATTTATTCCTGTTTATTGTTAAACACCATCTTTATTATCTCCTTACTAGCGTGGATTCTGTTGTGCCTGTTTTGGGTATGTGAGAGGAGCCGAGCACTTCCTTCTAGAGCTGAACTGCTTGACTTTACCCACTACTGAAATAGTATTTGGTGTGTTGTAGGGGAAAAACATAAAGTTTAGTAAAGCAAAAGAAAGTTTTATTCGGCATATATTCAAAAGGGCAGAAGGCGGAAGCGGACAACCATGCTGCCAGAGGCATGTCTGCCGGAGTCCAAGGAAACAGAACAGACAAAAGTGGGAAAATGGACAAGCATGCTGCCACAGCCCTGTCTGCCCAAGTCCAAAGAACAGTTACAGAGCCATCAGTGTATATTAACATTACAAATGAGCAAAATCATTGAGAGCTTAGCCTTTTCAGATTGGCTAGAAACTGTGATCCTACATTTTGAATTGTCTTTCTTAACAATCATTGGTACAGTTTTCAGTAAAGAGTCAGGAGGGTCTTCATTGGTCTAACAAATTTCTATTCACTAAATGCTAATAGAAAAAGATAAGAGGGGAAAGTCTTTTGTGTTGTGTTTGATCGGCTTTATGTGAAAGTTTCCCTAAAAGATGTTTTCCAAGATTATTTTAGCTATTGTCTTTATACCTCAGGGCCCAGTTGTTGTGTCCTTATGAGTCCTTGTGGGCCCAGCTCCAGGTGGGTCACATTCTCTATGCTCAAGGGCAGGGAATAATGACTCCAGTATTATTTCCTAAATCAGGTGTACTGTGAGAATTAAACTAAGTGGGACCTTGGCTTCTGAAGAGTAAATGGTTGAGCAGTGTCCCCACCCTGTCCCTCCTTTTCTGCCCCTCTTTTAAGTTTAGAGCTTGGAATGTCCTCAAACTATCATTGGATCCAGCTCTTGTCTCCTGGCAGGCAAAGTATGCCCTTATTTTACAGAGGAGTCAGCCTAGGTCTTAGAGATCATGTGGCTTGTGTGGGTCATACAGCTAGTAATTGCATGCTTACTATATCGACACAGAATATGATCATCTCCTTCCCCTCCTAAGGTACAAAGGATATCACAGGAGTCAAAAGATGACTGAAGACATCCCAGGTTTTCTAACACATGTTTGTAAGAAGGACTAGAATCACACTGATATCCCCGAATACAGCAAGGCCTGTTGGCTGGAGAATCACTACTAGTGGTCTCAGGCCCTTGAGACCCTCACTTGAGAGAGGAAGCCAGCACTTGAGCTATTCTGTGTTCAGAACTAATTAGCATGTAGGAAAGGTGACAGTCTCTTTTCCTTAACAACCCTGCTAGACTCCCAGTGGAGGCTAAACTTCATGGCAGATTTCAGACCTGAAATAAAAAAATTTGATTGTGAGTCATACATCCCCCTGATGATTGAGCACTGAATTAAAAAAAAAAACAAAAAAAAACCGTTGCCCTTGAGTCAATTCCAAGTCATAGTGACCCTATAGGACAGAGTAGAACTGCCCCATAGGATTTCCAAGGAGAGGCTGGTGGATTCAAACTGCAGACCTTTTGGTTAGCAGCTGTAGCTCTTACCTACTGAGCCACTGGTTCTCCAGCATTGGATATACCAAACCAAACCCGTTGCCCTTGAGTCGATTCCGACTGGGAGCAATGACCAGAAACGATAACATCCTTCAATTGCTTTGCGTTTGGAGGCAAGTCCAAGGTCAACTGCTTTGGTTCAAACCCAGCTTCATGTCTTAACGTCTCTGTGATCTTGGGTAGAGTGCCTAGTCTCCATGTGCCTCCATGTCCTTATTTGTTCAATGGTGATACAGGTATCTCCGGCTTTTCCAAAGTTCGCTTTATGCCACTTTGCTTTTATGAAAGACCTACATTTGTACCTGTTTTCGCTAACTGAAAGAAATCTGAAGAGAATTTTCACTTTTACAAAAAAAAGCAGAAATAGCATTCAGTGTTTCTTTTGCAGTAAGCCGTTAAAGAGGGAAGCGTGCACCCTGAGCAGCCAGAGTGGCCTCACCAAGCTCCTTCCCGGGGAACTACACTCAGCATCTCAGCTTTTACTATATGTTAGTGTTGTTTCAGGTTTTATGTGTTATTTGGTATGACTTGGTAGGTTATTTTTTGAGTCTGGGGACGCTCAAAAAATTTTCCCATATAAATTAGTGGTAATTGCTTCTTTGCTTCATGCCATTTCGGCTTAGGAAGGACTTCATAGGAGTGCTGTACTTTCGGATAGCCAGGGAAATCTGTAATAAATAGTATCTATATCATAGGGTGTTTTCTTAGGATTAAGTGAAAAATACTTAGAACAGTGCCTGGCATACAATAAATGCTCAACATTAGCTATTGTTGTTGTTGTCATTATTGTTGTTGTCGTTGTTGTTGTTGTTATTGTTTAGCTCACTTTTTATACTAACCAGGCTTTATCCTTTAATTTAATAAAAAAGAATAGAAGGCATCCAACACGAGAAATCCTATGAGACCCAAACCAGCTTTTACTGACACTCTTTCCTATTATACTCCTGAAAGAAAGGATTTATCTCTAGATGTTCCCAAGGTTTAATAGATCAGTACATTCCTTAAGTTCCTTAGAAATGACCACCTACCCATGTGATGAGGACTTATCCTAAGGCTCAAAGACCTAAATTGCAGGGTGCCTGGCTGAGTTTTTGAAAATGTCTCACAAACTGCCTAGTTCTCCTTTGGAGGTAGGAGCTTTGCACACTTTCTTTAGGCCGTGGGCAGGTTAGATTGTTTTCTCTCTGGAGTTTTAAATCTGATGCCCTGTCATCTAGAAAAGCAGAATGGGTACAATTTGTTTTCATTTTATGTCCTTTCGGTTGAAATTATATTCATTCAAGTCAGTTTAAGTCCTTTAGTCCAAATATGTTTGAGTTAATTTTATTTCCTTTAGGTTAAAAAAAGGTCCTTAGGTGGCACAAACAGTTTGTCTTCAATTATAACGTAAAGGTTAGTGGTTTGAACCTAGTCAGTGGCGCTGAGGAAGACAGGGCTGGCAGTCTGCTTTTGTAAAGATTACAGACAAAAAAACCCTATGGAGCAGTTCTACTCTCTAATACATGGGGTCACCATGAGACAGAATTGATTTGATGGTGACAGATTTGGTGGTGTTTTTTTGAAGTAAAAAACATTTTTTAAAGCACTTGTTCAATGTATCTGCCTCCCTGTTAACTGCCTACAACTAGGCCTTCTCACATGCTTATAAATTTCCCTTAGACATGTCTCACTGGAAACAAAAAATAATAAGTCGAACCACTGTTGAATTTGCTTCACAGGTTTTCCTGATCCATGCAGAACTTGTTCTATGAAGAGCCTGAGGAAACCTTTCCCACTCACAGTGTCCAGGGTGTGAATTCAAATGGGCATCCTGAGTACTAAGAAATCTCTGAGAATGGCTGGGGCTTGGCTCTTTCATCTTAGCTCCACCTCACCCCGAAATAGGATCATCTAAAATCATTGTGTTAGGTGGATGAATCACAACAGGGACTTCCAGAAATCACCTGGCCACTTAAGTGACCTAGGATGAATGTCACAGAGTGAGGCCCAGCCCTTGAGAACCACCATCAGACAAGTGTTGACCTCTATTAAAACCCTTTGTCCACAATCTCTGTCACCTTTGAGATTCATTACATTTGATTTGCTATTCTCATTCTTGTCAGTTATCACCGGCACTTGGTGATAAAACCTTATGTAGCTCTTTGCTTAAAAAAAAAGAAGGGGAAAGCTTTCTACTAAGAGAAAAAGTTATACTCACTACAGACAAATTTGAAGAAACATTTTTGTAAGGAAAAAGTACAGAGAATTAAAGAAAACGAAAAACATGAACCCTAATCTCTGTTAATATTTTGTATGTTTCTAGTCTGGTTATATTTATTTTTATGTTTATATGCATGCATGCATACTT